GTTCAGAAAAGGCATTTTCTTTTAATGTAAGTTCGTTATGCAGTAATGTATAAGGCGCTTGTTTTCAATGTTACGAAGGAAATTACAGATGAAAGGGAGTCCGTTGTAGCAGTAGTTGTGATGGCGGTGTTGGTATATGCGGCGTAGGGTGATTAGCAGCTGAGTGAATACATAGAGGGAGACCCGCCGTTCAGAAGGCGTTTGCCTCTGTTCTTCTGCTATCCCTTGCAACTTTCCTTCTCGTTTCCGACACCGATCTCTAATGATGCGCAGTCGTAGCGCGATTCCCTTTTCCAGAGTTTTTGTGGTCTTCGTGTATGATTGTTAAAGAGAAGGCAGATTTGTACTATTTCAGCGATTACTTCTTGCTAGCATGGACTAGCAGAAATGATATAAACGGTTAAGGTTTTTTTGCTTATTGTGGCTTTTTCCACTACGCTGCGAAATTGAAAATAGAGTTTTTCTGATAGAAACAGTTGTAGCATATATAGTAGTGACTAAAATAGCAATATTGATGGTAGTATAGTAAGGGTTGAATTGATGGCTTTTGTTGTTGCGTGAATATTGGTACAGGCAATGCATACAAATGCTCTTAATTCAGGTTACTTTAGCTTCAGATTGCTAGTTTTAGTAGTAGTTACGCTGGTGACGGTAACACATTTATCATAATAACAGAAAGAGCAGGAATACTTTGAATTATAATCACCGTAGTAGTAACTTTTGTAATGTTAGTGTTGATGGCTGCAGACGAGCAGCGGTGCTCTTCGGCTCCAAATGGTGGTACTTTATTGCTGGAAAATTGATTGCATTCAGAAGGTTTTATCAACGACTGTCAAGAAGCAAGTTGGCGTTTCTGGTCGCTTTTGATTAGGCTGTAGTGTTCTTTTATTGTTGTTTTCATTTTTTTAACTGTAATTTTGGTATTTATTTTTTTCGTATTGGAGAAGGAAGTTTGGATTTTTTTTGTTAACGCTGTTGATATACAGACATTCACTATTTGATGATGAGGATAATATTGACGCATGATTTTGTTGACATTTCGGAAAATATAGTTGATACGTTTTCCTTGTTTGTCTTTTGGTTAATGTTGGTTTGTAACTTGTTGGGAGACAGGCAGTTAAATAATTCAAATGAAAGAAAATCGAATTACTTGCAGATTGTTTTTTAAAGTAAGAAGTATTTTCTTTGTTAAGTTGTTACTGATGCTGTTGCTTCTTCTGCTGCTTCTGTTGTTTTTGTTTTTGAGTGTCGTCGTTTCGGTGATATCTGTATGATGATGGTACTAGTTGTATTAAGTGAGCAAATAAGGCTGATAATTTTTTTTGACTGGTGGTAATTTAAGGGTGATGTAAAATAATAACTTCCAACACCATTAAAATGAAGCAATATGGGATTTCATTTATCACGTTTCTTCTCATTGTGTCAAGTGAGCAAGGATCTAGAGGAGGGGGTTATTCTCAACAGCCACTGCTGCACGTCGTTTTTGAGTTCTGTTGATGGTTATCTTGTAGACAAGCTGTTGGCGGAATGGGAGCGCAGGAGACAAAAATAGTTGATTGAGAAGTTTTGGTTGACCGGAGCGCTGGAATGTCGACTGTCTTCATGTTTTGCCAATCTACAGTGATAATGCACAGGACAGTGGGAGACCGCATTTATGAAGGCAAGTTGTGTTGCGGTTACTGGAAGGAGCAGTTACGGGAGCTGATCGGAATAGTTGTTAAATTAGTTAACTGTAAATGGACAGATGCCATGAAGCAGGCTGGATTGAAAGTGTAGGCTTATCCCTTTGTTTTTTCTTTTTGAACTTGGCTTTTCCTCTTTACCTCCCTCTCCCTCTCTCCCTTTCTTTGTTTGTGCTTCTGCCTCTCTCTCTCTCCCTCTCTCTGACAGATGGGGGTTTTTGTTTTACGAAGCGACGCGTAACAAAGGGGAGCGCTTAGCCCACAACATAGTGCGTTTGGATTGAGAGAGAGTGTGTGTGACGAAGGGTGTGTGGTCACACATTTCGCGTTTACGTTCCCTAGCCAGACCACTATAGATAGCCCCACAGATCTGCTATTTGGACTTGTTCAGCTTTACCAGATTAATTACTGCGCTGAAGGATGGCTAAGAAATTAGGTCAGGATTATATGCTGCATCTTATCGGAATTAGAGAATTCTGTGATTGTTATTGACTTCCTAATTTGTTGCA